GGCCAAAGGCCCCCCTTCCCCATCCCAAATATTTTTAATATTATATATGTATTAATTTTTTTTTTTTTTAAAATTACATAGAATTGTAAAATTTATTTATTTTTTCAAAATATTTAACCCCCCTCCACTTAATTAATCTTACAAGTTAAGTTATAAATTTCTTTATTTTCTCAACTTTTTCAGTTCTCTCGTATTTCAAATTATGAATTCCCTATATTGTTGACTCACATTTAAATTAAACCTCATTTAATCACTTACTAATTTCTCTCTCTAGAATCATGCATATATGTGGCATATAAATTATAATAAGATAATTTGGCATATAACAAAATCTATGCATATTTTTCAAGTTAATTTTGTTTTTTTATTTTTGTTTCTAACTACTTGTTTGGTTAATTTTTGTTTCATATTCTATTGTTTATCTTAAATAATTGTTTTGTTTGATTCTAAATCATGGATATCAAGATGCATTTGTTTGGTTAATTATGTAAATTTGTGGTTGTGTGATAAATTTTGTATTTAATTTAAAATGCATAATAATGTAACAATTGTGTAGTATATGTATTTGAGAAAACAATTGCTATTATGTTATGTTGTGAAAATGGTTTTTCAAGAAATAATCAAATAGTCTTTTAAAACATGCATGTTTTTATTCTTTCAACCGTACAAAGCATATTGCAAAATAATTTAATATAGATTTAATTATAAATGATTGAGTTAATTACCAAAATGGTCCCTTGACTATAGTGCAATTACCAATTTGGTCCTTGACTATTTTTTTTAACCAATTAAGTCCCTCAACTTTAAAAAATTTAACCAATTTGGTCCTCCGTTAGTTTGACCGTTAGTCAACAGTTAATTGGTTAAAAAAAATAGTCAAGGACCAAATTGGTAATTCAATTGTAGTTGGCCCCGCGCACTATTCCGTCCTGGCTCCGTCCCTGCTTGTAAGTGATTTTACTTGCAAAAGGCACCAACTACTTGCATTTATAACACATTTTACTTGCATCAAAGTTTGAATTATTAACAAAAATGTCACCGCGTCGTTTTTTTTAAAATTACATCAGATTTGTTGATCTGGACACGTGGACGGATGATATTCATTCGCATTTCTCTCCTGGGCACCTATTCGCAAAGGAGTGAAACCCTATATATATATATATATATATATATATATATATATATATATATATATATATATATATATATATATATATATATATCGAGCTCGAACCAAACTCGAGTCGACTTGTTTCATAACCGAGCCGAGCTTGAGCATCAATTTTTTAGCTCGATCGAGCTCGACCTCAGCTCAGCTCGTTTACACTCCTCTCCTAATCTCACAGTCTCGGCCGATAACTAAAGATTAAAATAGAAACAAATTAAAATCCAATATGTTATCTAATCCAGTAATTTATACCAAATTTGAAACTTTTTATTTTCGTTTTAATATTTACCCTCATTGATTTATTTTTTTTTTTTTTTTGGGATCTACCCTGTATGCATATGTTACTCAAGTTTAAAAAGAAATAATAAAAAATTCATGGAATAAGTCTGTCATAATATTTACGTCAATGGTCAGTTCCACACAATTAGGCTTTGAGGATTAAAAATTAGTTAAGAATCCGGTTGAACCCCTTAAATACAATCTCGTCAGGTCCTGTAATGGCCTTAAGAAATTACTCTAAGATCTATAAATTAAAATACTTTTGTGATAAAATGTGGAATTGTCCACTCCACACGCTCCCTTAAAATAGAGATGACGATAATGTTGGAGCAGGAAGGAATCTGGTCGCTCTCTGCAGAGCAGCCAAGTCCTAGAACTGAGAAATTTTATTCGGACATACTCCGAGGGTATGTTTTAAAATTGTCGCTAAAATTTAAAGTAAATAATAAAGAAATATTAGCGGCGGTTTTAAAACTGCCGTGAAATAAGTTTCCCGTTAATTCCCGCAGTTGTAGAAAACTGCCGCTAAATCCTTCCCGACACACTATTTTGTCATGGTTGAATAACCGACGAGAAACACAGTAGTGACGGTTTGTAACCGCCGCTAAATGCCATATTTGGTGTAAGTGTCAGTCACTTAAATATAACTGATTTTTGAGAAAACAATTGCTATTATGTTATGTTGTGAAGAGGGTTTTTCAAGAAATAATCAATAGTTTTTTAAAACATGCATGTTTTTATTCTTTCAACCGTACAAAGCATATTGCAAAATAATTTACTATAGATTTAATTATAAATGATTTATTCTAAACTTTATCAAATTTGTAATGTAATGATTATTTTAAGATATGTTAACGAGATATCAATGTATTTGATTTAGTACTTCAATCGTAGTTGGCCCTGCGGGCACTCTTCCGTCCTGGCTCCGTCCCTGCTTGTAAGTGATTTTACTTGCAAAGATTCACCAACTACTTGCATTTATAACACATTTTACTTGCATCAATGTAATACCCACTATCTTAGAAATAAAATATACCTATGTTATTAAAATAGGTCAACAAGTCAAAGGTTATTAAAATTGATATTGGATGAATTTACTAAGTTACCCCTCTTTATCCTTAAAGCTTAAGGAATCCCTTTTATCTTGGAAGACCATCTCATTTGAAAGAAGAAAAAGAGAATATTGCCTAGAGAGATAGAGGAAGGGAAAAACCATGAAGCTTTGATCTCCATCTTCTTCAAGCTTAGATCTCAAAGCTATTAGAGTATTCTAGGTGAGTTTGACCTCCATATTTCACTCTTTGAGTTGGGTTTATCATTTGAGCCCTTGAGATTGATGTTTAAAAATATTAGGGATTTTTTACAAGGAGAATTTGGGCGAGCTGAATAGCTAAGATTTGGATGTTTTAGGTAAGTGGTTAACTCTTCTCTCCTTATTTTGCGAAACCCATGTATAACCTATTTTGAAATCTCTACTATTTTGAATACCCATTTTAGGGTTAGTATGAGTTTAAAATATTTTGGGCTATGATTTGTTTTTGGGTCTGAAAATACTGAGCTATATATTCTGAAGCCTGGATTGAAATTGTTAAGTTGTATTCGGGATTGAATTTGTTTTTGGGTCAGCCCGGACTGTGTTTTAGACTAGAATAAGACGTATTCTGGATGTAATTTATCACTATGTGTATTGATGGTGGATTATATTGGTTAGAGTGTTGTTGTGCAGGCGGATGGTTATGGGTTTGATTCTACCTGTTAGTATATTCTATGTGTTTGTTTTATATATATTATGCTTAAAAAATGGATTATTTATTTAAAGTAAGACTTGAACCATTGACCTCATGTTTAATAACTTAAGTTCTTTCCAATAAGCTAGTTCAACTCTTTTGAAACTATTTTAGTGTAATAAACTATTATACGATTTTTAATGATCGAGTTATGTACTAAGAAAATTATCATTTTGGGAAGGGTTTATACCTTGCATATTTCTTAGTTTGATAAATTTATTATCAATAATTGGAAATATTATGTATCTTAAGAAAATATGTGACTTGAAAAACTTGGTACAATAGACTATGTACTTGTTATGTGGTTTTTTAAGGAAAATGATTTTTGCTACATCGGGCTATTTGTTTATAAGAACTGTTTTGAATGTTCGGTCAAACTCATGAGGCAACCTACCTTTTGTTGTTTGTTTTGTTCGGTTTGGAACGTTCCCAATTGCTCATTCCTAATCGTCGAGCTTGACTCATTCCGAATCGTCGAGTCTTTTGAATTATTTGTTGGAACGTTCCATCCGGCTCATTCTGAATCGTCGAGCCTGACTCATTCCGAATCGTCGAGTTTTTTTGGACCATTATACCGATAATGGCATGTGCCACAGAATATAATGGTGGTAGTAGGTTGCCAATGAGTCATATGTTAAGGTATGGTTTATGCTTTTGAAAGTATTGTATTATGAAATATTGTTGAGGCCCATGTAGCTAAAGTTTCTTGTTTTGTGAACTTGTGTATAATATGATGAAAGTATATTATGACTTCAATATAGTTTAAAGATCGAGTTTTGCATCGAGTTATTACTCTAAAGCTTTTTGTATTATTTTGGGGTTACTTGATCCGGGGTTGAGAGGAGTATCACTTACTGGGCATTAGCTCATTATTTGTATTTTATTTTCTCATGTTTCAGAGTAGTAAGGATATGTGAATAGCATGAGCACAAGTGGTGGGGTCTCAAAGGTGACTTTTGAAAGTAGGAGACTTAGTCCTAGTGTTGGAGCTTATCACGAATTTTTGTTTCTTTTGGATATTCCCTTTACCCCTTGTATTTTTTGTAACTCGTTGTGCTTGTGGTGTATTTTGGACATACTACTCATGATTGTAAAAATTTATGTATGGATTTAATGAGCTTTTGGGAAGTACTAGTCGATTATATTTCGTCATTTTGGGTTGTGGAATTGTTATGTATTTAAGTGTTGTTATGAAGGTTTCGAGAGATTCGTGCGGTTAGGCTTCATATTGTTACAAGTTTTCATGTAACGGTACGGCCGGGTCATGTCCTAGAAGTGGGGCGTGACAATCAAAGTTCGAACTATTAACAAAAATGTCACCGCGTCGTTTTTTTAAAATTACATCAGATTTGGTAATCTGGACACGTGGAAGGATGATATTCATTCGCATTTCTCTACTGGGCACCTATTCGCACAGGAGTGCAACCCTATATATATATATATATATATATATATATATATATATATATATATATATATATGTATATATATATATATATATATATCGAGCTCAAACCAAACTCGAGTCGACTTGTTTCATAACCGAGCCGAGCTTGAGCATCAATTTTCTAGCTCGATCGAGCTCGAGCTCGGCTCAGCTCGTTTACACTCCTCTCATATTCTCACAGTCTCGGCCGATAACTAAAGATAAAAATAGAAACAAATTAAAATCCAATAGAATTATGTTCATATTCGTGGCAGCAAACTTCTCTTCCCACCTTATAAATACACACTCCCGATCATTTCAATTTCCCATCAACAATCCATCTGTATCTCAACCAGTATAAAGGAAAATAAAATAAAATAAAATAAATACACAAAAAAAAAAAAAAAAAAAAAAAAAAGAGATGGGTTCCAATGCGATTCAAGCTGCATTGATTTTTTTCTATGTGACATATCTTGTAGCAACAATACAGGGCGTTGAAGTTAACGTTAAAACATCTGGTGCAAAAGGTGATGACGATGGCGATGATACTGCGGTACAAACATACATGCAATAGTATTGTCTCTTTCTCTCTCTCTCTCTCTGTACATAAATATATAGTTTGATTGTATTTTGTGGTTTATTTGAGTAGGCTTTTAAGAAAGCTTGGGATGAGGTATGCAAAGCGACAGAGCCGAGCACGCTCAAGGTTCCGGAAGGCAAGTATAGGTTGGGTCAGATTGGGTTTCTAGGTCCTTGTAAGAGTGCCGTAACATTTGATGCGGAAGGTGCCAAATTGATCGCGCCAACCGATCTCAGTCAGTTCAAAACAAAAGATGGATGGATTTTGTTCAGCATGATTAAAGACTTTACGCTCTCCGGCGGTACATATAACGGCCAAGGTTCCGCCGCCTGGAAGATAAACAAGTGTAAGGAGAATATGAATAATCCCCTTTGTAAAAACCTCCCCATTGTAAGTACTCGATCTCATCTTGGATATGATTTTATTATTATTTTCTTTGCTTTTACTTATTATTTTGAAATAGAACATGAACTTGGGTACGTTGACGAACGCGGTGGTGAAAGGAATAAAGTCTGTGGACAGCAAGTTTTTCCACATGAATGTGATACAATGCAAGAACCTGACGTTGAATAAAATCAAAATCCGTGCGCCGGCGGACAGCGCAAACACCGACGGAATCCACATCGGGCGTTCCGAAGGGGTTACGGTGGACGATGCCGAAATTAAGACCGGCGATGACTGTATCTCCTTCGGGGATGGCGCCAAGAAGGTGACCATCGAAAATGTGAAGTGCGGCCCCGGCCACGGAATCGCTATCGGAAGTTTAGGAAGATACCCTAACGAACAACCGGTGGAGGACGTGTCCATCAAAAACTGCAAACTCATCAATACTATGTTCGGAGTTAGGATCAAGACGTGGCCGGCATCTCCAGAGGGCGTCGCCACCCGCATGCACTTCGAAGATGTGAGGATGGACAACGTGAGCACCCCAATTTTGATCGATCAACAATACTGCCCCTGGAATCAATGCAAGGCTGGCGTCCCGTCGAAAGTAAAGATCAGTGACGTTAGCTTCAAGGAAATAAAGGGGACGTCGGCGACGAAGGTGGCAGTGAAGTTACTATGCAGCCCTGGAGTACCGTGTGAAAAAGTAGAGATGTCCGGGGTGAACTTGGAATACCATGGAACCAATGGCAGCGCCATATCGGAATGTTGCAACGTGAAGCCAACACTCTCTGGCAAAAACGTCCCTCCAATTTGTGATGACGCTAAAGCTTCTGCGTAAGCACGTCTCCAAGAAGAAGTATTAGACTTTATTTAATTTGTAAATAAACAACTTAGATCTGTCAGTGTGGACTTATGTATAGATATGGATGCACCAGATCAGATAACCCACAACTGATAAGGTGAAATTTGTTATGCTACTATTTATCAATAGTACCATACATTTTTTTTCAATTTCAATTCTTTCCTACTTTATATTTCAATCATAATTAAGTGGCAAGCAATATCTAGATTATTATGGAAGTGTTCACCACGTCCATCTGTAAGGACGACTCAACGTTGGTTATGTTTAGAATCAATGAATCCTAATCTTGATGTGCACACTGCCATCAACAGGTTTGGTTCCCTCTTTTGCTTTCATGATGATGATGATCATATGACTCCAAAAGTTTATCAACTTCCTGCAACCTCTCATTTCAAGAGATTGAGAGTAGTACATTTAGGTTCTCTCAACTTCATTAATGTACCTTCATATGTTACGGATCTAATTCTTTTGAGATACCTAGCTCTGTGCCCATCCATGTCTCTTAACAGTTTACCAGTGTTAAAGGATTGGAATTTACAGTGGTTTTAGAAAATAGTGCAGACGATGACCCTAATCCTTTGGAATACCCAACATAAATAGTGCAGACGACGACCCTAATCCTTTGGAATACCCAACATTTGTGTTGGGTACTCCAACTGTGGTTCATCAATACATACAGACACTTCAATGGTTGCGCCCATTCCAATGTACAGAGCAAGTGTTTGAGGATTCCGAAGGTAGTTTTGGTCAGTTAAAATCATTGCTTATTTACGGATCAAATTTGAGGCGCTGCGAAGCCACTGGTGATAATGATTTCCCTGTCCTTGAGCGCCTAATTCTTAATGAATGTTATGAATTGGAAGCAATCCCTTCTAGTTTCAGAGATATACTCACTCTACAGTTGATTGAGTTGTGGCATTGTTATTCTGGGCTTGTCAACTCTGCCAAACAAATACCTTACTTTTGTATGCTATTTGAATTCTTATTTCATTCCCATCTTTAATCTTTAATTAATATATTCTTGTATCTAACTAAATTTCAGAGAATTGCTGAAGAGAAACTTGAAGATAAACTTAAAGATCAGAGTAACTAGAAGGAAGTGAAGGGGATTTTGAGGAATAATGATCTCAAAACTGTGGATTCATCACAGTCCTAAGTTTATGTTGGCTTCTACCTCTTGAATTCTTGTAGAGTTGGAAAGAAATTTGTAGAGAATAAGTGTAATGGTTGGGATATTTCTACCCATGCATGCATGTTTAGGTTGGCTGGTTGAATTGCAATAAGTTGAAATGCATGTGATTTGACAGATGAGATTACAGGTTATATTGTAAGTTTAGGCTATTAGTGTGTACTGGGCAGGTTTACGTTCTTAAGCAGCTTCATTATTGACAATTAAAAATAATGTGTTCATTACAAACATTTTTTTTTTTTTTTGCTTTTGATTTTTTAATACACAAGATCAGAGGCGCAATTAAGTCAAAGTAAAAGAAAAATCCAAAAGACAAGCTAGCATGAATCCAATATTATATATAAGACAAATCAAAATCCTATGGTTTATTATTTTTCCTATAATTTATCTTTAGAAACAAACTTCTTTTTTTTTTTTTTTGATGATTTTTTCATGTAAAATCCTATTTTAGGCAATGCCATTTTTCGACGACAAAGAAGATGTGTCTTTGCTTTTTATTTTTTATTTTTTAGTTTTTTTTTTTTGCTAATAGTCTAATTTTTATTGTCAAATTTAATTTGTACTCGTGATCTTGTGGTCAGCTTTGGGGGGCTAAGTTCGACAACGGAGCCTTGGGCCCTTTGGGGAACTACGGGGTTGAACTATTCCGGGTTGTTTTGACCTGCATCTTCGAGTCGATTTGCTCTAAACACATCTCAAATATATCTAGAGTTGTGCATAACTCGATCGACCTGAAAAATCCGTTCAGTCCGAATTTTGAAACCAAGCTCCCCGACCCAACCCGCATCCGAAGATCACTACCCGAACAACAACCCTAAACGATGCCGGATAAGAAATTTCGGGTGGGGTTGTATATTTTCATATCTGACCCACCCGAATATTCGAAATATATTAGGGTTAGATTTGGTATACTATGATACAATGTTGTTTTAATTTGTTATGGATATCCTAATAGTATTAAAAAGCATGGACTATATATACTATACTTTAAGGTACATTTGAAACTCCTGTGAGTTGCTATCTTCTTTAGAAATGTCTTAAATATAATTTCTCTCAACCTTATGTCTTAAATACAATCTCGTCAGGTCCTGTAATGGCCTTAAGAAATTACTCTAAGATCTATAAATTAAAATACTTTTGTGATAAAATGTGGAATTGTCCACTCCACACGCTCCCTTAAAATAGAGATGACGATAATGTTGGAGCAGGAAGGAATCTGGTCGCTCTCTGCAGAGCAGCCAAGTCCTAGAACTGAGAAATTTTATTCGGACATACTCCGAGGGTATGTTTTAAAATTGTCGCAAAAATTTAAAGTAAATAATAAAGAAATATTAGCGGCGGTTTTAAAACCGCCGTGAAATAAGTTTCCCGTTAATTCCCGCAGTTGTAGAAAACTGCCGCTAAATCCTTCCCGACGCACTATTTAGTCATGGTTGAATAACCGACGAGAAACACAGTAGTGACGGTTTGTAACCGCCGCTAAATGCCATATTTGGTGTAAGTGTCAGTCACTTAAATATAACTGATTTTTGAGAAAACAATTGCTATTATGTTATGTTGTGAAGAGGGTTTTTCAAGAAATAATCAATAGTCTTTTAAAACATGCATGTTTTTATTCTTTCAACCGTACAAAGCATATTGCAAAATAATTTAATATAGATTTAATTATAAATGATTTATTCTAAACTTTATCGAATTTGTAATGTAATGATTATTTTAAGATATGTTAACGAGATATCAATGTATTTGATTTAGTACTTCAATCGTAGTTGGCCCCGCGGGCACTCTTCCGTCCTGGCTCCGTCCCTGCTTGTAAGTGATTTTACTTGCAAAGATGCACCAACTACTTGCATTTATAACACATTAAACTTGCATCAATGTAATACCCACTATCTTAGAAATAAAATATACCTATGTTATTAAAATAGGTCAACAAGTCAAAGGTTATTAAAATTGATATTGGATGAATTTACTAAGTTACCCCTCTTTATCCTTAAAGCTTAAGGAATCCCTTTTTATCTTGGAAGACCATCTCATTTGAAAGAAGAAAAAGAGAATATTGCCTAGAGAGATAGAGGAAGGGAAAAACCTTGAAGCTTTGATCTCCATCTTCTTCAAGCTTAGATCTCAAAGCTATTAGAGTATTCTAGGTGAGTTTGACCTCCATATTTCACTCTTTGAGTTGGGTTTATCATTTGAGCCCTTGAGATTGATGTTTAAAAATATTAGGGATTTTTTACAAGGAGAATTTGGGCGAGCTAAATAGCTAAGATTTGGATGTTTTAGGTAAGTGGTTAACTCTTCTCTCCTTATTTTGCGAACCCCATGTATAACCTATTTTGAAATCTCTACTATTTTGAATACCCATTTTAGGGTTAGTATGAGTTTAAAATATTTTGGGCTATGATTTGTTTTTGGGTCTGAAAATACTGAGCTATATATTCTGAAGCCTGGATTGAAATTGTTAAGTTGTATTCGGGATTGAATTTGTTTTTGGGTCAGCCCGGACTGTGTTTTAGACTAGAATAAGACGTATTCTGGATGTAATTTGTCACCATGTGTATTGATGGTGGATTATATTGGCTAGAGTGTTGTTGTGCAGGTGGATGGTTATGGGTTCGATTCTACCTGTTAGCATATTCTATGTGTTTGTTTTATATATATTATGCTTAAAAAATGGATTATTTATTTAAAGTAGGACTTGAACCATTGACCTCATGTTTAATAACTTAAGTTCTTTCCAATAAGCTAGTTCAACTCTTTTGAAACTATTTTAGTGTAATAAACTATTATACGATTTTTAATGATCGAGTTATGTACTAAGAAAATTATCATTTTGGGAAGGGTTTATACCTTGCATATTTCTTAGTTTGATAAATTTATTATCAATAATTGGAAATATTATGTATCTTAAGAAAATATGTGACTTGAAAAACTTGGTACAATAGACTATGTACTTGTTATGTGGTTTTTTAAGGAAAATGATTTTTACTACATCGGGCTATTTGTTTATAAGAACTGTTTTGAATGTTCGGTCAAACTCATGAGGCAACCTACCTTTTGTTGTTTGTTTTGTTCGGTTTGGAACGTTCCCAATTGCTCATTCCTAATCGTCGAGCTTGACTCATTCCGAATCGTCGAGTCTTTTGAATTATTTGTTGGAACGTTCCATCCGGCTCATTCTGAATCGTCGAGCCTGACTCATTCCGAATCGTCGAGTTTTTTTGGACCATTATACCGATAATGGCATGTGCCACAGAATATAATGGTGGTAGTAGGTTGCCAATGAGTCATATGTTAAGGTATGGTTTATGCTTTTGAAAGTATTGTATTATGAAATATTGTTGAGGCCCATGTAGCTAAAGTTTCTTGTTTTGTGAACTTGTGTATAGTATGATGAAAGTATATTATGACTTCAATATAGTTTAAAGATCGAGTTTTGCATCGAGTTATTACTCTAATGCTTTTTGTATTATTTTGGGGTTACTTGATCCGGGGTTGAGAGGAGTATCACTTACTGGGCATTAGCTCATTATTTGTATTTTATTTTCTCATGTTTCAGAGTAGTAAGGATATGTGAATAGCATGAGCACAAGTGGTGGGGTCTCAAAGGTGACTTTTGAAAGTAGGAGACTTAGTCCTAGTGTTGGAGCTTATCACGAATTTTTGTTTCTTTTGGATATTCCCTTTACCCCTTGTATTTTTTGTAATAACTCGTTGTGCTTGTGGTGTATTTTGGACATACTACTCATGATTGTAAAAATTTATGTATGGATTTAATGAGCTTTTGGGAAGTACTAGTCGATTATATTTCGTCATTTTGGGTTGTGGAATTGTTATGTATTTAAGTGTTGTTATGAAGGTTTCGAGAGATTCGTGCGGTTAGGCTTCATATTGTTACAAGTTTTCATGTAACGGTACGGCCGGGTCATGTCCTAGAAGTGGGGCGTGACAATCAAAGTTCGAACTATTAACAAAAATGTCACCGC